AAACCCTAAACTCAAACCCGAAACCCCAAAAACAAAACCCTAAACCCAAATTATCCGAAACCCCAAAAACAAAACCTCCCCAGGCTCGGAAGGCGTTTCGGAGGGCAGCCTCTCTGGGTCGTGTTGGGTGTCGGATGGTGAGCTGGGCCGAACACCTGGGTGGTTCTCAAAATTATGGTCCCTTTTTGGGTCCTTCTTATAATGCGGCACCTATTATTTAGGGTACCCCAAAAAGGACCATAATTTTGACAACTACCCACCTTAACAAAGCCCGAACCCCAAGGCCAAGGCCAGCGTTTTGGGGATATTTCTGATGATAAGGAACATTCCTAAGCCCTACACCCCAAACCCTAAACCCTGAAAAACCCTAGAGCCTTAGAGTCTTTGAGCCGTACAAGCCCTGTAGTTACTCAAAGCCCTTGAATCAAACCTCATCAGGCATTATAAGGTACTCCTAGGGCGATACCGGATTAGCCCTCAATCCCCAAAGCCTAAAACCCTAAACCCAAACCCAAAAGCCCTAACCCCAAACCCTAGGCACCCGGACATCACGGGGGATAGAGAGCCCGCGCTGAGCTCAGCGGCACAGTGTTGAGGGGGATCCCTTGGGATTTGTAAGTGGGGTTCTTCTACAGGCTCTATCAAGGCTCTCGAAGGGTTCTTTCGGGGTTTTGTGGCTGTGGGCCTAAGCCCTAAACCCTAAACCCTTAAAGGTTCTTTTGGGGTTTTATGGTTGTTGGGCTGTCACGGCTCTTTGAAGCTGTTTTTTCGGATTCGGCAAGGGTTCGTTTAGGGGTTTTGGCTTTCCGGGTTCTGTTTTTTTTTTAAAGGCTTTGCTGTAGGAGTTTTGGGTCTTTTTGGGTTAAGGCTTTAGGGTTTGAGGGTTTAGGGTTATGGGTTAAGGTTTCATGAATTCTTTGGGCTCCAGGTTTGTAGTGTTGAGGCTTTACATGCGGCTACACTTATCTGCTAGTTAAATGCTTGGTTATGCTGTATAGTTCTAACATGTCACAACCTGTCATTCTCCAGAGTTTGAGGCCCCAAACCCTCAAACCTTAAACCCCTTAACCCTAAACCCTAAACCCTAAACCCTAAACCCTAAACCCTAAACCCTAAACCCTCAAACCTTAAGCCCCTTACCTCAAGCACCCTCGGGCTGTAGGTGTTCAACGAAGTCGCCCGGAGCGACCTTGTCGCGCAGTACGTCGGGCAGACGGCTCCAAAGGTGCAGAAGGAGGCCAGCCGGTCCCTCAGGTTGTAGGGTTTAGGGTTCAGGGCTT